TGCCACGAAGAATTGAGGCAGTTCTGAAGGCAAAAGGGGGTCCAACCCGTTACTAGCGTGGTGTACCTAATAAAGTGGCCGGTGAGTGTATAATGCTACACAAACACACAAATTATATCTGTAAATCAGTTATTGGCCATAACAGCAATAATTATATCAGATATTGATATCGGCTGAAATTTTCATATTGGTGCATCCCTATTTATAAGTAGAGCAACTCCACCACCTCTTTTAGGGTTTCTATTCACATGATAAAGTTCATAGCCCTCAATGTTAACATTATTTATATTTTCATCAGTAAACCAAGGTTCTGTGAGTGCTATTATAGTAAAAGTTCTGTTTAACTGTTTTCAAAAATATTTTATTTTAGATAAATTTGCTTTTAGAACTATTTATATTTATTCAGAAGCTTGGAACCATGGATGGTCTGACTGTGGTTAAAAAGTATATGTAGGGATCATCAGCAGCTGCTGCCATTTTCTTCCAAAACTGCTGTGACCAGATTTTGCAAGGTTGCTCTGTGCGTTTGCGTATTTCCTCCTGCTTCATTATTTTTACGAATTTCAACAAATCGCACTGACGTAAGGTAGTTAACTCGTCTCCTCGTCTTCTAGTTTTTAAATTTTGTTGATGCGTTTTGAGGAGACAATTTTTTGAAAAGAGGATCAAAGTAAATCACCCGAGTTTTTCTAGTAACCCTTAAATAGATAAGCTGTCATGAAGAACATTATTTTATCTGCCCTTGTTCCAAATTTGATAACGATTTGAAACGTCGAAGTATGTTTTTTAAAATCCAGAATAGTGCTTGTTGCAAAGTGTGTTGATGCTCATCTTCATCACTTGACACATTTTACACACTGTCATTGGTTGAGCTGCTTTGTTTACAAAACACATGTCCACATGTTTTTTAAATTGTTTAAATTTCCTTACTTTCTAAGACACATTGAGTTGATTTGATGCTGCAGTTTGCCTTGTAATATTATGTATTGCTACTTTTTTAATTGGCTATTATTAAGTTTTATTAGATTTTTAGGATACAAAATGCTTCCTACAAAAACCAGAATGTGAATCTTTTCCTAAAATTCCATGGCGATAATTTGAACACTAAGTTATGAGTAAAAATAGAAAACAGCAAGGTGAAATGATCCCATTGGTTCTGCTGTGAACTGCAGCAACATGAGCTGATTTCACCTGAACATACACTCACCGGCCACTTTATTAGGTACACCTGTCCAACTGCTCGTTAACACTTAATTTCTAATCAGCCAATCACATGGCGGCAACTC